CACGGAAGTAAGGGTTGACCCTCGCATGTGATGATGACCTAAGGGCACTGTAAATGCTGCTCGTGGACAACCAGCTTCTGCGCAATCCTTAGGCAACTTGAACCAAGGCCAGATAAACCTGCACGTGATGGTCTCTTCGCAGCCTGCTAGAGTACGGGGGAGGTTCATTCGGCTGGCAGACTCAAGAGGGCAGTGCCATGTACAGCACTTCGGTCCTCAGGAGTACCGACCCAAGCTCGAAGCCAAGGGGTGCTGCAACTCTGGCATACCTCAGCACACCTTGCAAGGGGTGAGCGTGGCCTGTACAAGAAGCAGAAGAAGCCGAGGAAGAAGGAGGAGAAGAAAAATAGGAGAGTGGTCCGGTGATGATCATGAAAAAGCTGGGATGATTGACTTTATGCTGGTGTTGCTGGTGTTTATCTGTGATATTTGAAGAAGACAAAGAATAACACAAACGTGATTATGAGGATTTTCATGAAAATGACGGCGGCGGCGGCGGCGGCGGCGGTGGTGGTGGCGGCGGTGGCGGCGGCGCGTCGGCGGTAGTGGTGATGGTGGCGACGGTGGTCACGGTGATGGTAATGGTAGCTGCTGCTCTTGACGACAGAGATGATGCTGACATGCGGCCAACGAGCAAGAGGAGAGCTGGCAGTTGCGGTCCTGTAGAGTGGTGCAGCAGACGTGGGACAGGCGAGAGAGGACACGGCAGAGAGGACACAGGAAGATGAAGGATAAGAAAGATAACGGATGAGGGGGAAGAGGAGGAGAAGAGAAGAGAAGAGTGGCAGGGAGTGGGAGGATGGGGGAGGGTGAGAGGAGCAGAAGGATGACCAAAAAAGCGGCAATGATGGTGGTGGTCGTCGTGGCAATCAGCTGTGCTTCTGCGGAGGAGCTTCAGGCGCGTCTTGGCCGATTAGAGGCTCGACGGCTGGCATCCCGCAGCGTGGCTGCAGCAGCCGTCTTGAAAAGGTGCCGGAGCAGACAGCAGAGGCGAACGGGATTTGGCTTTCTCCATTCAATACAACTGTCTGCCTCTGATTCTTGAGCCCTTCTTAAGCGCTTCCCAATCAATGGATCCACAAAGTAATCCAGGGCTCTCCTTAAGTCAGGAATACTTGTTGTGGAGAGTCCTGGTGAGTAGAGGAAAGCTGAGGATCAGGAGAGTTGTGGGTTTACGTCGAGTGTTTGACCATGAGCCAGAACTCTGCTTGAAATCAACTGCCTGAATGCGTTTCCCGGGGAACCTTCACCTCTTCATTCTTTCATATGTGGGTTCTCATAGTCGGAGGGGGTCAATTTTGCTATGTGAGTGCTAGACTGCTTGGGCGAAAAGACGGCAGGAACACAATCCTGAATCCAAGGCCTAAAGTACTGAAGCGGGAGCACAACTTGTCATCCTAAACCCCTCAATGCCAAGCCGTCGAAGCCAACCAGCTGGTCAACCGCACCCGACACCCCCTCTTATGCAGTCTGTGCTGCGCGTTGATATCCTGTACCACCGTGTTTTGGAATCTCAACTGTTATTTGCAGACAGCCTTAGAGGCTCGCAAAGCTCATTGGGACCATGCTGGCTTGCCTAAGTCTGCACTATAGCTATAGAAATCGTGATCCCAAATCCTGGGCCAACTCGGCAGCGAGGAGTGCTGCTGCTCAACTGCACGCCAGCAGCGTTGAGGAGGCAACAGAAGATGGAGAGGCCTGGAGTTCTGGCAATGATGACGCCCTGGCTCTATCCACGCAGTACCAGCTTGAAACATCGGCGGCAGTGGCAATTGTGCCACATGCAAGAAATCATGGCAGCACCAGCAACGCTGCATCCTAGATATTGCTTGTGCAGTGCAGGCTGCATGCAGGATGAAGGAAAAAACGTACGTTTGCACGCGCACGCACGGGCCAAAAGTGTGGTCTTCCGGACATGGCTCCATAGCGAACACGCAAGCGCAAACTTTGGGTATTACAGCTCACCCAGAGTTTTCAAGCATTCTCATCACACGCGGAAGAATTATGAAGAATAGCTTCTTTCGCAAGTAGCCATTGCAGATGGGATGACGTACATTCCGCACACGGGCTGAGGTGTTGGTCTCTTGATGTCTTTTGTATCACCTCATTTGCCAATATCACGGCTTCCAAGCACAGGTTAGGTAGGTTCCCGCCTACAGAAAAAGGGTCCCAGGGGCTGTTTTGGGAGGGTGGTTTCGGATCTCGGGGGCATCTTTCGCAGCCATCGTCGTGCAAGTTTTGCCTGGGAATAGCGGCAGGGTGGTCAACCACCACCATGACCAGGGACCACCAAACAATTGGTACCAGACCCAGTTTCAGACCCTCCACTCTCCGCAGGGGATCTCCCAGATGAAGTGGGGAAACGCTGCAAGAAGCGAAACAGACATTTTCATCATTCTGGGAGCAGACTTGCCGAGATCATTCGCCAAAACCCATTTGAAGAAAATAGTTTTCAATCGACAACGAGGCTTGTCTTTGCCGCATGTAGTGCATCTCTGCTCAGACTGCTCAGCTCGCAGCATTTTGGAACATCCTAACCGCTTCCGATAACCGGCAACACCAAATGGTTTGAAGGGTTGCTTGTCTTTGCATGGTGGCCGGTACTTTATCTCCAGGGCATGGTAGCAGAAAAGAACATTGCTGTTGAGAGAGCAGTAGGTCAGGTGCCTTGCCCAGGACAGATTTTTTACTGCTCGTCAGAATGCTGGACACTATCTTGTGAATGTAGTGTTATGGTTTGTCCAGGCCGGGGGAAGCTGAAACCGACACCTGCTCCAGGCATCAAGCGCGAAGCAGGCGCTTGGCTCCAACCGGTTGCTGTCCTCGTGGGGCAGGCATGCAACTTCCATTGTGGTCCATGCTGCTGAATATTTAGAAGTCCTCTGGTTCAATATCATAGGTCCATACAGCAAAAGTTGGCTCGTGTGCCGACGATGCGAGAAACGGAGGAGCTCATGGAATGGACTTTGTCAGCTTGAAGCCATGGATTCTCGTCATCCGCTGCCGGCTCACCCTAGGTCAGCAATCTATTTGATAGGAGAACTTCGGAAACACGTCAGCGATCTATTGAGCAGGCTTTGAGTCCTTCATGCATACACATGCATGTGGATTTCGGAAAGGCCATGCACGGGCGGACACTTTGGGCTTTTTCTTCGGAAGCCATTCTGCATCAAATGATCCATTCACTGAAAGAGGTCATTCCTTCTGCTGCCTTGTAGGCTGATGGGCAAGAGAAGTCGCTTCTCGGCACAGCTGTGGGGACCCAAGGGCAACTCGGCAAGCTTAATTTGTGGGCATGTTGTAGTCCTTGAGTAGCGACATGATGATGCAAGATGTTGAGATGCCGCACTCATTGAGCTCAGGCAGCTGCAAGTCGCTAACTGACAAATCTGAGCGCTTGGATGATGCGGCAGAAGCCCGCGCGTCTCACTCCACAGTTGCACGGATGGGGCATAGCCGTAGCTGGACAGATGGCATGCGTATTGCAACGTGAAGTGAGGCGCTGGCTGCTGCAGAGGAAGTTCATTCTACAGTAGCCAAATGAGACAAGCCAGCAGAAAAGACACGCCGAAGCACTGAGGACCAGAAAGTACGAGCTTGCTTTTCCGAGCTTGTTTTTCAGCTCGAAACAGCGCTGCCCTGCGAATGCTTGGTTCTTGACGGACTCTGCCATCTTCCTGCCCGCAGCATACCCTTTTGTTAGATTTTCTTGAGTGCTGAGCTTAACCTAGCTGCAATAATCCAGGACCCAGATGTAGGCTCCGGAGGGGCCAAGTCTGCCCTCCCTGACTCCATCCTAAAGCCTCAAACATTCAACCTGCCTGCAGGGCCATGCCCGTGCACACCCAGCCTAAGCCTGACCAGCAAACAGCCCACTTCATTCGGTATGCCCGAGACTTGCTGTAGATCGAATTAGAGCCATCGGCCATGTCCATGATGTCGGCTGATGATGTAGTGCTTAGACGGAAGAGGCCGGACACACTTCTCAGGTTTCACGGAAGCAGAGCCAGCAGGGCAGTAAACCTTCAGGCACAGGCTGCCTCGAGTCAATAGCGATCCTTCCGAGCAGCTTGTCGGAATTAGCCGTGATATGTTCTGATGCGCATCTTGTCAAAGCTGCCCAACGTGGGCCTGTGCAGTCGTCTTGGACTCTAATAGAAGCTGAAGGCCACCTCAAGCAATTTTCCAAAACCACCCGCTTAGCCAAGGGCGTTCGCCATGCCGCCGCTACCTTCAAAGACAAGCAGCGGCTCCAAGTCCTCGCCGTCTCTAAGAAAAGACGAGCAGGCTGGTTTAGGGCCGGGTTGGCCTGCTGGATTCGCTCCCCTTTGATTTTTTTGAGGTCTGTTTGACTTTGTATGACTTTGTTGGGTTGTGGGAGCATTCCACAAAAGACTGATGGGGTTGTTGTTGCGAGCGAGATGGCGATTTGAGGGGGTGCTGGATGGGTAGGGTCTGCAGTGTATGACAGCGTAACCAGGAGTTGAGAGGTATTCTGCATTGGCTGATGAGCTGCTCAGCCCAGCAAAGCTATGTACATGTACTCATTGGTGGTCGTGCTATGTCAAGAACCTCAAAAAGTGAAAGCCATCACCAAGACGGAGTTGCAGACGGTGCACATACACCCTCAGCCGTCTTGACAGCTTGCAGCCTCTGGTACAGGTGTCCAGGGCGAACTACCTTCCCATGCTGAGTCCAACAGGCGGGCCTCTCAAAATCCCTGTGCAAGTCTGCAGTCCTGCTGTACTTCGTGAATTGATGACAAGTATCTCACACATGATTTCAGCCTGCTTTGAATTGATTGCTTCCTTTGCAGCTAACGTCCTACGATGTCCTGCGATCATGTGCCTGCTAGGTGGACGAGGTGCCAACAAGGGAAGATTCTCAATTGCAGCTGCCAGGGCAATCAGCCACCCAAAGCCTGGCCCATGTCCTGCCTGACAGTGCCCAAGTTGCCCATCTAAGGAAGTGCCTCGCACAGACCGAGGCAGTTGCCACCCATGCAAGACTTGAGGATACAGGTAGGCAGCCCAGGGCCGAAGTATCCGAATGGAGTAACTCCAGACGTGTAACTTAACATGGAATGCAATGGTGTTGGGTAACTGGTGGCGTCAGTCTCAGCAAAGGCCATGGCACTGTGCAAGAGGAGCCCGCCTTAGTTGAACAGCCGATTAATCATTCACGCTACTGCAGCTAGAGTCTAGAGGAACAGCAAGACAGCTGAGGCATCAGATGAGCTTCTCGGAAGTCATGTCCGTCCTTGAGGCTTTGCAACACGCCCATTCCGACAAGAGCGGCGTGGCGACGGAAAAGTTCAGGACATGCAGGGGATAGCCGAGCTTGTTCAGGGTGCGCACCTCCCAACTTGACATGGTTTGTCATTCCCTAAATTCCTGCGTCAGGAATTTCATGCAACGGGCTCTGTATGTCGAGCATGTCAATGACGAATTGCTCCAGAGCACTTCAGACTGCAAGGATGCATCTTGCGCTGAATCTTGATGTTCTGCCAGGAGTGAAGCGGAGTATGTCGCTAGCTCTAAGGTGCTTATCAGACCTGCGCATCGCAGGGTTACATTAACGTAGATGAGCTGCTGAGCCGCAAGCATATGATCACAATGCACACTTTTTCCTGTTGCCTGCATCTTGTGCTGGCTTGTGAATTTGCAATATGTTTGTCCAACAGTTGCAGCGCCTGTAATACGCATTGTTACGGTTGTCCTTGCAAAAGTTGAGGTTCCTGAACTGGTGCAAGGCGCAATTTCTCTGCCCATTGCACACATCACTGAGCTTGCATGTCCGAATGACTTGTAGCAGGCGCATATGTTCTCCGTCGTGGCGGGCTTGACTGCAGACTCAGAGCACACGACGTAAGAGCCTTACTTGGAATGCCAGGTCCAGCCTGCCGCATAATTAAATCTGCTTTGAAGCCTTTGGAGTGCCAAAATGATTTTCATGAAGGCTTCACACCATCCAACAATAAGATGCGCTGATTCCCATGGGCTGTCATAATGATCATTTGCTGTTCTGCTCGACATCCAGCTGCTTGCAAGTCCTGGCAAGACAGGCCGCATTTCATAGATGCTGTAGACGCGGTTTCAGCTTACACAGCGCCACTTCGTGGCCTTGTTCCGCAACCCTTAAGCTGTTGGCCGCTGCTGACTCTCGCTCGTCTCGTTGCGCATGACCCAAGGTCCGTGCGACTTGTGCAGACAGTTGCGCATCGCTGCGGCCTTCGGGCTCCTCGACAGAGAAATACCAAAGCCTGCTGGCAAGCTTGTACAGGGTCAGAAGTTTGCACGTTGTCAGCATTTTAAGGGTTCTAGGAAAGTCGGGGAGACGCATGTGTTCAGGGACGATGTGCTGGAGACCCGCAGGCTTATCCAGAACTTTTCTTCTAAGATGTGGAATCTCATCTCGAGGTCTCGGAAGTTGATAGAATATACGCGCGCCTGGGCTGAAGGATGCTCCAGTTCACGTGACGACGAGCGGGCTTTGAAGCTAGCTAGAACTCGGCTAAGGCATTTCCAGAAATTCGATTTAGAGCCTTGGCAGCAAGCTGTCCTTCACATGTCAGCTTGTTGCCCTCAAGAGTGCTGAACCAAGGACAAGTCTGGCGAAATTGAGTTTGTTGAGTTCGAAGCAATGATAAAATCTCTTATAGGCACGGCGAAATCTCAAGTGGCTGAACAACCCTGCACTATCTTGCAGCACTTTTTTGGAGATGGTGCTACTTGGCAGGTGTCAGCCAAACAACAGCCGCTTGACAACATTACTTTTCCAGGAAAAGCAACTGTGTTGTCAGGTCCGGCTGTCTGTGCTGTTTGGAGTCCATGCATGCTCAGGGAATTTGTTGTAACTCAGGACCTCCCAAAGGACTCCGTCTGATTTGCATGTGATGCCATCAGCAACCTAGACTTTTCGCGGTTGAACACGTTGTGGTTTGGTCAATGCAGCTTGCGCTGACGTATTAGCCTTTACGCTCCTTTCAGCCTTGGCAGATGGGGTTGCTTAGCGTGACAAGTGGCAGGAGCGTCTGCAGCGATTTTGGAAGGAGATGGCTTCTTTGCCCAAACAGCTCGCAAGCAACATGTAATTACTGAACAGTCCTACGGATGTACTAAGGATACGGATGGAAATGGCATCGTGGACTTTGGAGAATTCGCGCAGCATTCGCCTGAGGTCACTTGAGGTCGCCGTGCCTTGCACAGGAGTGTTTTCAAGTAAGCCCTTGCCGGCCAAGGTGGTATATCAAATATTTTCCAACATCCACGATGATGGAGGATTCCTCTGGAGGCTGACCAAATCCACCTTTCAGAGCCCTAGAGTTTCGAACTTTGGCAGCTAGGGTGTACGACATGGGCTCATCAAAAAGCCAGAGAGTGTCGCGTGCACTTTCAACAGTGATTTCTTGAGTGTGCCTTGCCCACAGGTGTTTTGGAGGCGTTCTATGCATCTTACTCGCCGGATGTGTGCAGTGCTCAGCTGCTGAAGAGTGATCAGCAGACACAAATCGCATAAATCGCTGGTGGAGATCACTTGAGCCAGTGCAGGGATTATTCTGTGGAAAAGAGGTTTGCGGTGCCAAGGCAGCGAAGTAACTGCCTCGATGAGCAGTCTCAGGAGGACTGGGCTAAGATGCGTTTTTCATAAATAAAGCTCGCGGGTGATTTTTACTCTCAAAATGCGCTTTTTGCTCAAGGGGGCGTTTGTTTAGAAAACGCAGGCTGAACTTGGGGCCGTTCGCCGTTCGCCATGGGTGGAGAAATTCATTCAAAGTACTTGGCAAACTCGAGAATGCTGCCAGCATCTTTGAAGACCGTTTGATGCGCAAACCCTTGCTATGCCAGCGTCACAAGCCTGGGGAACTGTACGTGTCAGCTGAAGCATTCAGAGCAAGCCCACGCCAGCATGATTTTCTTCGCGGTCTGTGGCCGGCAGGAAATCCTCATGCGCCAAGAAGCCGTCCTGAGCAGGGATGCATCTTTCAGCAAGAGCCCGGCCAAAGGCCGGACAAAACGATGATTGTCCTGGGATCCATGTTGGTCAGGTACAGCCTCACCGCAGAACTCAACTAGAGCAGATAGTTGGGGGTTCCTACTGGGCCAACAGTGGTGAGCACCTACATGTGTGCCCGCTTTGTGTTCTGCTCCGTCAACAGATTTCATTGCATACATTAGTGGGGTTAGAGACATTTGATGGAGTGGCAGAAGGGGTTGGCACAAAGCTCAGCAATCAGGTGAAAGGAGCATAAGCGAGGCATCCTGTTTCACGTTGAAGATGATCAGGGAAGCAAGCACAAGCACTAGGTGTCAGTCTATAAATTTCTGATGTGCATTTTAGGTGTTTGCTTCCTGGATTGGCACGCCTCTAGAAGGAGACCCATTTGATGGGGTTGACCTGTGATACTGGAGAATAAGGGCACATGCCACATGGGCCAGGTGATGCATCACAACAGATTTAGGACATAGATACGGATATCCTGCTTATTCGTCAGCCCGATTTTTTTTGCGCTCTTCAAGGCGCGCGGCACGCGAGTGCCCCTCGCGCCTCTCAGCACCTTTTGAAAGCTCACGGGTAGAACAAGGCGCGATGAAAGATGACATGGTTGCAAAGGAAAGGCTTGTCAAGAAGCACCATGTCGGTTTCCTTGCGCCTGTTCGAGCTTTCCGCTGCATGTTGCTTCGTTGGCTAAGCCAAGCTTGCCCAGACGCCATGGATTTGATGTTGCAGCATCCCGCACGATATCCCACAGACAAGTTTCACAAATTATGGTGACTGCCACATGGGATTCAGGGATGCTGTTTTGCTGGATGCCCCTCGAGAGATTTGACAGTCATAAGAGCATGCCATGCGGACGAACGCAACGGCATATGTGCACGGTTTCGTTAGTAAAGGTCCCGGAGGGGAATCGGCCATTCCTCAGAAGGGGAAACTGAAGAACTCAAACTTTGCTGTGGTCGGGCTCCAGCCAACTCCCGGTAGAAGCGTTTTACTCGGGTTTTCATGCCGTGGCGCCGGCTCCGAGGCGTATTGGCCTCTGGGAGCAAGAGGCATTGCAACAGATCATTATCCGATTAAAGAAGGAATGATTATCATTATAATCGTTGCAGATATCTTAGATGCGTTGATGATTCATTAAGAAATGCTGCATGGATGGCTATAATAGGCGTTGAATGAAGATATATATCAGCTGACCTTAAATTTTGAGCTTCCGGGCTTCTAGCGTATATACTAACATACCAGGATCTTGCCGAATAGCGGAGGGCCTCCGCATGCTATTTTCACTGGCCCTGCTAGCGAAATAATCAATTCGTCGTCTTAAAAATAGAGCCCGGGTCGCTGCGAGAGTACGTTTTTTTCATAAATTCAGCCTTTAGCCGGAAATAATCAGAGCCAGATATCAATAAAATGATATGGGATACTTCAGCCCAAATATAAAAGTAGTAATAGTAGAAATCGTATTAGTAGTAATGATAAATAAATGATAAGAAAAATAATGATGGTACCCGTATTAATATAAATAGAATTGAAACAATGATAATTATAATTTATAAGACCAATCATAAAAGCAATAATAGTAAGAATAGCAATAAAAGCAATGGTAGTAATAATAATAAGGATAGTAGTAATAGAAGTAATGGTAATAGTAGTATAAATTAGTAGTCGTAGTAGTAATAGTTACAATAATAAATATACTAGTAATGATAAGATTAATAATAATACTAAAAGTAGCCAGGTAATAACAATGATAATGACAACCATGAGAAGAATAATATGGAGAAAAATATATGCTGAATATTATTGAACAATCCCACTTCTACTATTACTACTTTTCTTTTCTTTCTTTTTATCTTATATACATAATATTATTACCTTTTATTCTTCCAATTTCTATTCATGATACTACTCATGACACTATTATCATTATTACTTCTTGACTTATTCTTAGCTTTCTTTCATTAGTCTTACTAATGCCTTCATTATTCTCAATATTATGAATATTATTGCTGGAGATGACACTGTTATGGACTCATAGCAATGATATATTGGAATAAACCTGATATATTAGTGCATATTCTTCTAGGAAATTATATGAGATTATGGATATTTAATATAATTGATATATATCTTGTATATGTGGATAGGAATTCTTAAATCTTGCGTTCTTGTCTTCTAATTTTTTTTTATATCTAAATTCTTTATTAATATTAGATATATTATATATTTAAAGATGAAATCTTAGATTTTGAGTAACTTCTATTTCTATCTAAGTTTCTTACTAGGAATATATTCATGGTCTCTAATAGATATATTTTTTTGAATAATTATTAGTTCCGATGAAAATATAATATCTATTCTGGAATTATAAAAAAAAGACCTAAGATTTGAGAATTCTCCTTTATATTCGAAATATATTTAATATAGGATTTATAGCTGGAATATAAGACGAATAGGAGTGTGGAATTTAAGATTTGGAACTCAGACTTTGCCGCACATATAATAAAAGATTTATATCGTAAATGATTTTGGACCGCCATTAAAAAATGAAAGATAATGAAATCCAATTTTTAAGGGGTCTATCTAAAATCAATATAGTAAAGACCTATATAAATAGAGAATAATAAATTCAGGATTTACGATATCTATTCAATCTGAAGTATATTAAGAAGAAAAAATAATATTTATATAAATCAATACGAGGAACCCATAATTAATACGCATTTATGACCAATCTACTAGAGTTTTGACTAGGCATTTCAGATCTTTTCTTTATAATTGATACGCATAGAATATCTCTGGGATATCAATGAAATGAAACGATTAAAGCTATTTAGATATAGAAGATTTTTTTTTTTTTTCAAAATACCCCTCGCCCATATTATAGCAAATGAGATTCCTAGGAAAATTTCTTTTTATAAAAGAGAGCTCAAAGCAACCAACAATTCATTGATTGGGTCAGAATAGAAAAGAATCAAATCTCTATTTCTATAATTGGAATAGAATTCTCTACAATAAAGATTTAACTTGAGAGAGGTGGAAGCTCTAATTCCTTGCAAATATTTCTTTCGATCTCTAGAAATTCAATCTAATCAACAAAATAGAGGCCTACAA